ATTTTGAAGCCTCTTTCTTCCTTTCTGATCGGACCTGGTCTTGCCATGACAATAGTGTCCTAATTCACTAAGTTCTGTAATTTGCGATTGCGATGGTTATTATCGAAAAGTTAAAAAAACCTCAAACCATACATAATAGCAAGCCTTTTATCAAAGACGTCTTGGCGAGCACGAACTGGTGAGATAAATTTTCATAGTATTTTATTTTATTTTAAAATATTTCTTAATTCTGTCCAAAAAGACGCCTTTGGTCAGCGTTTGCACTGAACGCATCACTTCTTCCAATACATTATGATCGTTAAACTGCTAAGCGTATAGTGTTCGATCACTTAGATTAAAGGGTTGAAGGCTTTTTTGTACGAGTTCTAAGGAGCAGAACACATAACCCAGTTTCTGCCTCCGGACAGCTCTGTGACTTCGGTCAAGTATTTTACAAAACATTTCAGTGTTTACACGGGCTGGCTGGCGTTGGTCTACACACGGCGTACAAGTAAAACGGCACTCATCTTGACCAGTATTTAACGTAGACGTTTCCAAGGAATACGAAGAGATGGACCAGTGTACTTTTCAAAAGCTACAGTATTGAAACAAAAATATTCACACGTACTGAAAATGCAACTTGATTTGCATTCTGCAGGAATAGAATTTATTTTAGGGAGGATAGCCAGAACTATGAGCAATGAAGGTCTTAGAATTGTTTTAATAGTAAATATAATTCAAACTCCCGACCCATTATGCGTACGGAGAAAAGAGGATGACCGTTATTTTGCAATTTTAGGTGTACCGGGAAAGCAAAACAACAGATTTTTTTACTGAGAGTTTTAATTTTGGTTAATAAAATTGGGACTGAATAACGCCATTGGTTATCTATCCATTGAGGGCTAGAATTTTAAATTCGACCGCTGAACTACGCGAATTTCTCCATAGTTATTGAGAATCCTTTTTGGATTATGGAGAGGCAGTCGCCAATGAGAAATTAACAGTATACACACTTACGCACATAAACTTGGAGCCATTCTTAAGACCATGGTAAGTAAATGTGCCTTTATGAGTCTATGCACTTCCCAAAAGTAGTGTAAAATGCGCATTTATGTATAAAAAGGACTCGCGAGCGCAGTTACTAAAAGCATGGACTTCTGACATGAAAAGCTAGATCGCTTTAAAGCACATTTCAGATCACGAAGAGTGGCATGCAAACTGTTCAAATATGATAGGTAAACGGAAAATGTGGAAGTGTTTGCGAACTGTTTAAGTCTTTTAAAATTGTTTCTTTGACGCACCTCAGTAAGAAATGAAAGTACCGTTTAAGTGCGTCAGCAAAAAGTACACGATATGAAATTTGAGTCCAGCGCATTTCTGCTTCACCAAAGCTACTCAGAGTTGTCATACAAATGTCCCAGAAAGTTGTCCTGTGCGCCAGATAATTGTTTGCCTTGTCGCTTTTTAATTTCCTCAGAAATTAACTGAGAGCTTGGAGCATGTCAGTATATACTAAGGTCTATAGGTGCAGACCAAAATTCGCTGTAAAAATATTTGGGCCGAAATCAGTCCGTCAAAGCGGAATAACCGCGTATTATTCATGAACTGCAATAGGCAGCTAGTTGTATATTTAAGAATTACGGGATACCATACGGGCAGCACAGGTACCAGGAAAAGCCCATACGCGCGTGTTTCACCGATATTCTGCCACTGCATGGCACAGCTACAATGGGTTTGGCCCTTCAATGGGTCCTCCAGCATTCCCCGTGGGTTTTATGGTACATACTCCTGTTTGCATATTGTTGTTTTTTGATGTATATGCCAGGATCTACAGACGCAGACCGAAATTTGATTTATGAAATGATATACTAGCTACCTGTCTGCAGTTAATGGATATTAAGCTACTATCCTCCTGTGGCCTAAATACTCATGCATCAAATCTCGATCTGAGCCTATAGACTCTAGAATAAATTAATCTACTCCAAGTTCACAGTTAAGTTCCGAAAAAATAAAAAGGCACCAATTTGTAAACTGACGGATCTACTAGAAAGCACATGGGGAACGCTGGAGGACCCACTGAAGAGACGAAAACCTCGCAACTGTGCCATGCAGCGGCAGAATATCGACGAACCATGCATGTCTGGACTTTTAGCGAGCATCTGTGCTGCCATTAGGGTATCTTGTAACCTTAAATTGCCGAACTAGACGGTGCAAAATGACGCGAATCACGTTCTTTAAATGACTCTGTAGTAAGGATGAGACGAGCAGCAGGTTGGTGCCACATCTGATGTCATCCAAGTAATCTCATCCAGTACGGGCCGTCTGCACTGAAATTCGTTTGCTGGTAATAGGGAAGACGGCAGATATTAGTGTCAGGTCTGGGCTAAAAGCCAGATAAGTGGTCGATCTGAAAAACTGTAAAAGCAAGATTTTCTATTTTTGACTGTCCTTAATGTAGATATTTGACATAATAAATATCATTAACATAATGAAGATAATGGAGATAAAGCCTCAAGCACAGTGTTCGGTAGGACTACTGTGGTAAGATGTTTTCGTCCTTTCAATCATAGCTACTAATTTGATGCTATGTTCCATGGCTTAATCTATGCGTACATCGTCAACAGTCAGCGTGTTCTATTCCTCTGGTCTTCTTACAAGTGCCCCAGTGAAAGGGCTTAAAATAACGAGCGGACGTAGTGGGATTGCAGGGTGATTTGTTTACCAGACAATACCCTACAATGAGGCGCACTTCCTAAATGTAGCTACAAGCTCGAGGGAGTAACTCCTCATCCAATCATCCATAGGCAATATAAGTTCACGAAAACAAATTAAGATTAATCATTGCTTCCGCCTGTCACGCATTATTCCGATGCGCATTTTACCGAAGTATAAAATTCGAACTTTGTATCCTGCGCATTGGTTTATAAAGCCCTCTATGCACAATGTGTTAATAGGCAGTATCTAAGAAAAGCAGCCGACAAAGAACGCTGTAAGTTGTTTGGAAGGATTTCTGTGATTGACACTGTGGTTTAGCGACCATTCTAGCTAACATTAATTATTTGTCGGCGACATTGACCGACAGGTGTAGAGTCTCGACTTTATGTCAAAACCTCCCCTCCCTCGCCTGATGCGTCTCCTTTTGCCTCTCCCAGGGACAAATTCTGCAACATCATCATCGTTTACGTCCTCCCTCAGATTACCGGCCCTGACGCGTTCAGGAACAAATTCTACGGGGACCTTCACGCACTGCTAGTGACTGTGTCGAAGGCAGGTAAGTTGATTGCCCTTGGTAACTTCAACGTCCGCGTCGACACAGACCATGCTGCTTGAAGACGAGTGCTGTATCTCCATGGTCTCGACGGCTCCAATGACAATGGCGCGCTTCTCCTGCGGACCTGCGATGAGCACCAGCTTCCAACGCGGGAGAAGGCCACCTGAATGCATCATCAGTCGCGTCAGTGGACACCTGCTGGCCTATGTCCTAGTCCGGATGCGAGACCAGCGGGACGGACTGGTGAAAAAGGCGATCGGGTGGACTGACCGACGCCTCGTTATCTGCAAAAGGAGGATACGCCTACAGCCTCGTAGGAAACCTTAAGGCAAGAACAGAACAGAACAGGCAACCTTCAGAAGGCCAAAAACCTACAGGAGGTGCGCCAGTCTATGTCCCATGTGAAACTAACTCAGTTAAAAACGCTGATACGAGAAATTAATGCAACACTGTTTGCACTGGAGAACTCAGGTGCAATAACACCGACCGATCGACGCATGGCGAGAGCCCGAGAAACGGCCGTGGCACAAGGAGGGCGCTCCTCTCCGGCTAATTCTATCGCTCAAAGGCACTCCCAAGTACGGACTGGCAAAATGGCTGTTTCAGCGTATCAAATTTCTGACCGCGGTTTCGGAGACCACTGTCTGTTCGTAATCAGAATTCCATGAGGGTCTTAAAGAGGTTAGTCTCTTGCCAAATGGGGTTATTGTATATTTTGTTGTCCCTGTTTTCTTCTCTTCCCAGGATCTGACAGTCAAGACCGTCGAGATACTCATACAAAGTAAATTCAATGAACCGGAAAATCGTCTCGGACATCCCGAAGTCCTTCAGCTCCTTAAGCTCTGACGGAGGACGTACTTCAAGTTTTACAGAACGATCTACGTGCAGGAGAAGAAAAAACCAATGGGCTCGCCGATTTCGGGATTCATCACCGAGGCGGTCTTACAACGGTTAGAGTCGATGGTCTTCCAACAGCACAGACCGAAATTCTGGGCTCGGTATGTGTACGATACCTTTGTCGTCATCGCATGAAATCAGGTGTTAACGTTCGAAGAACGTCTCAACAGCATCTTTCCTGACGTACAATTTAAGATGAAGGCGAAAGAAAATAACCAGGTAGCATTCCTTGATGTCCTCGTCTGTTGTAAAGACTGTGGCGGCCTGAAGACCATAGTGTTCAGGAAAGCGACAAACACGACAAAAATACTGAACGTCAACAGCAACCACCTAATCAGCCGCAAACACAGTTAGGTAAAGCCGCTCTATCGGCGTGTTGAGACGCACTGCAGTAAACCGGAAGACAAGGTTGCCGAAGTTCAAGATTTTAGGGTGACGTGATACCATACTAACAGCAAAGGCACATGCTAAAAGCCTATGCACGCGTATTTCTCCGATATTCTGCCGCTGCACGGCGCATTTGAGAGGGGTTTGGCTCGTCATTGGCTTCCTCAGCACTCTCGGTCTGTTTTCTGGTGTATACTTCAGTTTGCGAATTGTTGTTTTAATGCATATACTAGGGTCTATAGCCGCAATTTCCACGTGTGCTGAATATTACATTGCTATCTTTGCCTGCTCATAATTTCCATTTCAGCAATGAACTATCTCAACGGCTAGCCAACCTTCCAGTCGACGCTGCCGACGAGAAGGCCTCTGTGAAGAACCGAGGGTGCCAACTGCGGGGGAACCCGGTCGACGGCCCTAGCTGTTATCGGTAACATATTTCGTTAACATCAGGCCTGATTCGAAGGTAATGACGCAGCCATCAGTAACCTACTCACCGAAAAAAGTCGCCTGCACCAAATTCTACTTCAATCTTCCCACCGACGACAATAAAACAGCCTTCTACGGCATTTGTCACCTTGTGCAACAGCGGGTGTGCGGGATGCAGAATGCCAGGACGGCTCGCAAATCCGAGGAGACCCAAGGATACGCGGACCACAACGAATGGAAGAACCTCTTCGCTGCGATCAAAGCCGTCTACGGTCCCAAAGTCAAAGGAACCGCTCCTCTTGTCAACGCCGACGACGGTATTCTACTCACTGAGAAGACGCAAACTATGAAGTACTGGGCCGAGCACTTCAGAAGCGTCCGCAAACGCCCCTCCACCATCTCTGACGCCGTCATCGACCGAGTGCCTCAAGTGGAGACCATCGCCGACACTGACCTCCCGCCCTGCCGACATGAAACCATCAGGGTCGAGACACGAATCTATAGCGGGAAAGCGTCCGGATCGAACGCGATCCATGCCGAGATCTACAAGCACGGTGACCCACAACTTATGAATCACCCCACAACGTTTTTCCAGATGTGTCGTCAAGGAGAAGTGCCAAGGGTTTCAAGGACAGTATAGTCGTTTACCTCTGCAAGCGGAAAGGGGACCGCCAACTAAGTGACAATCACAGAGGAATCTCGCCGTTCAACATCACCTGAAAGATTTTTGCTTGCGTACCCCCCAACCGCCTCAACGACCATCTGTAACAGAAACTCCCGCCGGACAGCCAGTGCGGCTTCCACCGTCATCACGGCATCACCGACATGATTTTTGCCCCCTGCCAGCTGCAGGATAAATATCAGTGGGTGCGGATCCACCTCTACTCCACCTTCGTTGATCTAACGAAGGACTTCAATACGGTGAATGCCGAAGGACTGTGGAAAATCATGCAGAAATTCGGTTGTCCTGAACGATTCACTCAGATAGTACGTCAGCCCCACCATGTCATGAAGGCGCGCGTCACGGACAACGGACCCGTCTCAGAGGCATCCGCAGTGACCAACGGAGTGATGCAGGGCTGCGACCTCGCGCCTACCTTCTTCAGTATCATATTCTCTGTCATGCAAATGGAAGCCCACCGTGACGAACACCCTGGGATCCTCACTGCCTACATTACGTCAGCCAACTCTTCAATCAGCCGCGGATTTACTGCCAGTCGCATGTATCCACGGCTACCGTCCATGAACTTTTCTCCATCGACAACTGCGCATTGAAAATTACGATCATAAAAGAGATGCAGCGGGTATGGACCTCTTAGCGGCTAGACCGCAGCTGGTAACCAGACCCGTATTACAGGTGGCTGGGAGTTTGTTTACTGGGGCTCCATAATCACATCTGACACACTTAGCTTTCGTTTTGCTTTTGAGTTTAGGATCAGGGTACTAGTTAATGGTTTCCGATTTTCGGGTTAGACTTATGCCGTTAGGCTTAGGTTTTTGGGTTACGGTTGAGGTTTGAGCGTTTGATAAGGTTTATGTATTACGGTTAGGTTCTTCAGTTACGGCTTTGTCTAAAGGCTACGGTTACGTTTCCGATTTCGGTTAGGGGTAGGGTTACCGTTAAGGTTAACGGTTAACGTTTAAGGTTGAAATTAGGGTTAGGGTTAGGGTTGAGGTCGGCGTCCGCTTCCCCAGTCCTGACTACCAACTGCGATCTAGCAATCTTTGCTTCCGGCTACCTCAATTTCGGACTGATTATCAACATGGGCAGAACGGTGGTCATGTGTCAACAGCCACCGAAAGTTGAGTGCAGCGTCCTTTTCATCCACGTCAACGGGACCGAATTGAAGGTCGTGAACAACTTCAAGTTTCTGGGCAGTACGATATCACTCTGCATCATAATTGACGAAAAAACGGCCCACCGGATCTCCGAAGCCAGCCAAGTCTTCGACTGGCTGCAGAATCCCGTATGGAATCGCCACGGCCTTCAACTAAAAACCAAATTAAAGATGTGCAAGGCCGACAGGTATAACTGACAAAGACAAGGTACAGTGCGGGACCTATCTCATGAAATGTTGGCTGAAATTCTGAAATGCATTTTCGATTAGGAAGGATTACTTGGTCGCGGTTGTGATACTGATTATCTTAAGGCATACTCTTATAACATTTTAGACTTGACAGGATGTCCGCTTTAAAATGCGCTCCTTTTCAATCTCCTGTAGAAAGCGTGCTCGGTAAAAAAATGACTACTTAAGTAGCATGCATTTTTCCCATTGATTTTCGATGATCTTGGAAATTCAAATATATTTTATAGAAACCACAAACAAAAATGTGCTTTCTTTTAGTCAATCAATAGAGAATCACGTCTTCTTTATAGTTTATACTTAAGGAAGGAGTATAATTAGGTTTTTAAAAACTTTTCTAATTGCCGAAACATTTGGAGCCTGATCATTCGTTGCATTAGCGCTTAGTGATTACACTCTACAAGGTGCATGCCTTCCGCGTATAGAAAATCCCATATTTTTCTATTTCATTAAAGAGATATCCTACAGGGTTCATAAAATTTTGCAATGGATACGGACCATGTTGTACATTTCATGAGGAGCAGTGGTAAACGGCCAGGTACGATGCTATGTGAATGGACATGTCGCGGTCTTAAAAAGTCTCATAATTAGAAACTTTTTTAAAACCTAATTATACTCCTTCCTTAAGTATAAAATATAAAGAAGACGTGATTCTCTATTGATTGACTAAAAGAAGGCACATTTTTGTTTGTGGTTTCTATAAAATATATATGAATTTTCAAGACCATCGAAAATCAATGGGAAAAATGCATGCTACATAAGTAGTCATTTTTTACCGAGCACGCTTTCTACAGGAGATTGAAAAGGAGTGCATTTTAAAGCGGACATCCTGTCAAGTCCGAAATGTTATAAGAGTATGCCGTAGGATAGTCAGTATCACAATTGCGACCAAGTAATCCTTCCTAATCGAAGACGCATTTCAGAATCTCAGCCAACATTTCATGAGATAGGCCACGCACTTTAATACCATTCCGTCTATATCATACACCGCTGTGCGGTTGCTGATTGGGCTCAAGATAGAGCCCGTAGGGCACACCGGAGCGAGTGAGCTCCGTAAAAACTATCACTGAACGTCCCTCTAACAATTTGTAGGACTGTTGTCCTGGCGACACTTTTGTATGTGGCGGAGACCTGTATCATCTACTCCATCTATGCCAGGGAGCTCAACCAATTCTATGTGAGTTGCCTCAGAATACTGAAGCTGATATAGCAAGGCATGATCCTGGACACTGAAGTTCTCTAATGGACAGGAATTCTCCACATCTACGTCATACTGAGACAATAGCGACTGCGTTGAAGCGGCCACCTCATGAGGACGAACGACAAGTGACTGCCCAAACGACCCTTCTATGGATGTGTCACCACGGGTACCCGTCGACAAGGAGAACAAAAACTGCGCTACGAGGACATTCTGAAGAACTCGCTGAAAGAACTGGAGATTAACCCGGAGACCAAGGAGGACCTTGCCCAGAACAAACCGGCCTGAAAAAGAGAATTGAAAGCCGGTAAAGCCATCTACGAAATCAATCAGATCGCCGTCGCCAAAGATAAAAGGAAGGCCCGCAAACCTTAAGTGTTTCGACTCCTCATGCCAATAGTCAGCCGCTGCCAACATGCCCGCGCTGCCAACGCATATTTCGACCTCGTAGGGCGTCTTCGGACGCAATGCCCCAACAACCTGGCAATGTCAACTTCTTCCACAATCGTCCCTGTTGCAAACCCCGTGATGAAGACCATCGACGTCAGCGATGATCACACTGTCGTTGCCCCACCGCCATCAATCACCACCATTATCCTCCCTGTCCCAACCCCTGCGTCCACCACACTGACCAGTTCCTCCAAAATCACGATATCTTGCACTCCCCCCCCCCCACCGATGAGACGACGTCGACGTCCCATCATTTGCTACCATCACCCCCAGCAACCGAACTACAGCGCTGTAGACTTTGTCCAATCAATTCTCATTGAGATCGCAAATTCACCTCTCACATTGGCCTGGTCGGTCACTTGCGAATCCGTCGCACAGAGACTGGCGAACCAGTGCCTGGAGCACCCACGTACTCTTGGCACATCCGCCACAACTGCCCTCACTGTTCCCGTACATTCAGTCACAGCATGGGTCTATGGGGTTACATGCGCATCCGATGGAACCTGAAGTAGACAATTGCCGGCTATACCGCACCATTGCCCACCAGCACCTGCATCACACATCCACATTACCCAGCGGTACATACCACAAGCACACAACTGGCATCTCGCACGTAAGTGATGAGTGTGCTTCTCGGTCCCTCCTCCATGCTGCTCCTTGGCTGCTTGTGTGATCCGGGCCCGAGACCATTGCGGTGCTCTGATTGCCGTGGCTTGGTAGGTTGTCGACCGACGCTTTTAGCCGAGTTGTGTGTTTGTGTGGAGTGGAGGACTGATGGGTTGGGTCAGGTTGCAACGGCTCCTTCTTAGTGTTACCTCTGATACTCTCACATATATGAGGATTTTGTGTTTATATGGATAATGCCTCTCAGTCAACGACTGGTTATCCGGACTTTGAGGGGTGGTGACACAGGTTCAATTGAGGACTTCATCTCATCTTTCTGGGTTTTAAGGGTTGTGTGCGTCTGCTATGCCATGGATCAGCAAACCATGACCCTCGCAGTCTGGTGTGCGTTGGCAACTCTCTAGAACCCTATATCCTGCCGGTGGGTGCGTTTGTGCTCCTGCTGGATATACAGGTCGTGTGTATGGTTGCCTAGTGATTTGTGTCACCCTTATCCTTCTGACCCACTTTTCTGTTGGTCACAATCCTGGTCAAGTTTTCGTTGTGGTGCAGGTGCGGACCCAGTCCTGCCAGTCACCAGCACCGGCTCCCGCTTTCGGTCTTCATCATTATATCTTGACAGCGAGCTCAGGTGGGAGGTAGGGAGTGTGGTTGATGCGGCGCAAGTCGACTACCACCATAAACTAGTTCACGCACAAGCCACTGCGCACACCGCTACCCTGTTGTGGAGCATACGGTGGACATCGTCGGAAAAGACGGTCGAACTGTCATTTCCCAGATCCGAAAGTTCCTCCACCACCAGCGCTACCAATTCCCCTACAATCGGCCTCACCAATGCCACCGCAAGCGCCATCGATACCAATCTCTCCTGCCGATATTGCCTCCAAATATGCGCGAAACGCGCGATGTCAGGTGTAAATCTGTCGCATGGAGACTGGCGAATTAACGTCAGGAGCACCAACACACACCTGCCCCAAATGATCGTACTACCGTCGAGCATGAGCCTACTCGGCCATGCGGACCTCCATGAAATTCTGCTGAAAAAGGCCGCAGACCAAACCCATCTCCGCGCCTAGCCAGACCAACCCCTACACTATACCCACCACTGGCACACAATGGGCACTTCCTATGTAAGTGAGAGACGTGTTGCTTGGTGTATGACTCCTGCACACGAGCTCCTGTACCTCTATCAGCCAATGCGTCCAATCCCAATGCCTGGTGACTGAAGGGCTCCGATTTTCGACTCATGCGCACGCGTGGCAAATGGACAATGAGACCGAAACTGTAGACTCCATCAGCACGGCACTTCAGCGCATTCCTCGGTAAAGCAAATCTGGCGCACTAAAAGTCATGGCATGGGGATGGTCACCAGCTGATGGTATAACTCTCAGACTCCGCAGTCAATCCTGCCTGCGTTCTGCTCTATCATGCAGGGGGCAGGTCTGTGGGACAGGCGTAGGTGGGTTGTTTAGCTTCGCCAGCCACTGTTCCCGATAAGGCCTCCAATCTTCCTAACTCTGTGTTGACTCACGTGTGTAGGGAAGAAGAGAATGCAGTGATTACCGCGCGATTTTACTGTCACTTTAAACTATTTCTCGCGCAATCTACCATCCTTGCGTTCAACATTCGGTGAGATACACTGTAAACATCGTCGTTCGCTACCGTCGAACTGACATAAGAGCATCCCTGCCGACTCGCGAATATGCCTTTTGCTTGCAATTTCCAATGGTGCTCTATACATAAGTGGGAAAAATGAACTGCCTCGAGCCCTTTAGGGATCAGTGGTTTGCTCATCGGTCGGAGCAGCAAAGTACGTCTATAACAAAACTTCACGTTGACCGTTCATTACAGGGGTCATTGAGCGTGACCGTTATATGTAAAAAATGCTATTCACAGATTTGAACAGAAGCAGCGTTTTCAAGCGCAGCGAATTTCTTTTAGATAATTAAATGGAAAGAACTTGGATGTGAAATGACTGATATAGTCGAATGTGATTTACTTCAGAGTAAGTTCGGAATACTAACTTGGTATGTGCATTTGCAATAGGTGTATCTCCAAAGCGCCCACCCAAGCCATCTTAGGGGGTATGTGTGCCCAAAACCTCCAGGCCTTTCGAAAGCAGTATTTTATTTTAATTTACACTTTATACGTTTCAGGGTTTTAGTTTTCACCTATAATAAGCGGTTAGGGTGATTTGTTATATGTAATTAGAAAAAGGCGTTAATGAGTCTTCGGGGACGAGTATTGGACGACTTCCAGTGTTGGTGAATTAAAAGAAGGCAGTGGCGTACATTTTCACTTTTCACTGTATGATATTTCCTATTTCTAGTGCAAGCATCTCAGGAGCGAAAGAATTATAACCTGATGGCTGTATAACGTCCTAAATGCATTTGAGTTTGTGTGCTACCTTTAAAGACATAGACCGAAAATATTTGCAATGTTACTGTGTGGTCTGGAGTATACCCAAGCAAAAAATATGATTTCATGAGCTCCACCTTATAAATGCGTTTTTAGTTATGAAACCTTTTTAAAACTTCGACATTTTAGATTATAGATCTCGGTCGGGAACGGGAAAACTGATCATCTCAGTATAAAGGGTGGCCTCACGTTAAATACTAAAGGCGTTCCTATTCCCGTGACAAAACTTTATCTCTAGCCCTTTCACTAACACCTACTCCAACTCTCTTGACGTTAGTCCTAACACTGTACCATAGTCTAATCCTTTTAGAATTTATGTGAAGGCCAGTTTTAGTAAGGTAGCCCATATTCGCGTGCTCAACTTAGTTCTTTTATATAAAACAGAATGTGTTTACCTTCATTTCTGCTAAAAAACTGCACTCAAATAATAATATTTTTTCTTGCGAACCCCTTAGGAATTCATTTCGAATGTGATTGACCCCTGCCAGTTTGGTGACGAAAGTTGGCCGAAGGTTGTTACATGGATTTTAGATCAAAATAAATGCTTTGTTATCTTTTTCATATAAAACATTTGCCCGCCGCTTGTTTGAGCTAAAACGAAGAAAAGTCGAGACCAACTGCCATCAGCACTGCCCCAACCTTCCATATTTACTTATTGAAATTTTTACAGAAGGTTATAACGACCTTGCGATCGCACTTAAAATCATCACCACACTTATTTCGGGAACTATGTTTTTTTCAATTTAACGTTTTAGGCAGAAATGTCGCAAATATTCAAGAGTTTTCATCCATCTTACTATTATTCCTGATGTACTTTTGTGGTAGTCGCGCCGAAACTAAAAGCGATATTATGAGATGACCCTCCCCGCACGAAGGCCTATCGGTTAGTGCGTCACATGGTCAAACCACTCGGGTAGACAGCATTGGTCGGTTTCTCCTAACAATGCCTTGACTGACTTCAGGGACATTTTCGTAGCCAAAATGTCCCTTGTCAGACGATGTTATCTAAACTTTCTGGAGTTAACTTCAATGAACATATTTGGTTACCAACAAATTTTTGCGAAGGGTAAAACCGACTACGCATCGTTGACCAAGTTAACTGCTGCCCCTTGGTCATTTTAATTTTTACGCTAAGTTCCATGATGCTGACATAATTGTTTGTAGAGAAAGAATTGCGTGCAGTATGGAACGTCGAAAATGTTGACAGTGCAGCTGTTTACACCACTTTTTTCCCAAAACCTTCTTAAGATACACAATTCGACGTTGTGTGTCATCAAGGACGAGGATAATAACTCGAGAACCAAGAAAAGCAATTGATCGTTTCGAACTTCCAGAAAAGTGTTAAGGGGATTTGATCGTGGAAATCGGCCGATCCTTGCAAAATCATATTACTGTGGTTGGCTATATTGACCCTAATTATAGCAGCCAAGAGTGGGCTGACTCCCTTCTGTATGTCTGTCTATGAAGGAATTAGAAGGCTGTGGAAATTAGACTCGTTTATCGATTAATCCAGGGCTAAATACGGATACATCTGCAAGAACTCGGACGTATCACTTGCTACTTCACTCGATTATACGCACTAATTTATCATTCAATACACTGTTTTAATTTTCAGTTTGCGCAGTTAGAATTGACAATGAGATCGGTCGTTTCATTTTTACTCAAACTGATATGGAATTTTTGCGTCAATCTGACAACCATCTCTATTGGCCAGCCAAACAAAAAGTCTTGTATTCTTTGTTTTATTTAACTACACCAAGACTGCCACAGATAACTGGATCTGACTTAAGCTGCTGAGTCTACCATCTTGTTCTTGTTTCTTAAAGTATAAAGTTAAGTTCATTTGCATCTACGAGGTTTTGCGATTTGGTGTCTTCAGCTGTCACTAAAAATTAAATTTCTCTTCGATTCTATTGTCTAGGTAACAGATTAAGCTAAAAGCCTTTTGAGTTTATTTAAAGTAGCTATCGGGTATAGCCCACGTTTTCTTTAAACGGCACTATGTACGGACCCCGCAAGGCGGACTACATGTGTTTAACAGCATCTAGACTCGAATACGAGACAAACCATTGTCTGTCCGTTTACGTCAAACCGAAGAACCATTGCCTGGCCTTGATTGTTTCTGAGTATCATTATCAAGATCGCCAACTATACGCAGACATCTGCTCAACGAATTTTAGTAGCAACTAGGTAAGCATTACTTTCAGGGGAATGATTATATTTCAGTCTTACCGACATCTATTTCATTTCAATAGAAAAGACCCAGCTGATAAAATAGACATCCCTACCGCGTAGGGGTCGAGGTCGCGCAATTCAGTTCAGTTCAGTTTATTGAGAGAAATAGGCGTAAGTCTTTGAGTACCCTATCTGCAACGTAAAAAATGTGTGGTGTACAGATAGATGTTCTGGGCTGAAATAGATCGAACACGCTCGTAATGGTGGGACAAAATGAGGAGTTACAGGGG